CTGTCCTGCAGCCATGAGCAGCCATTCCAGCCCAGCAGTGAGCAGTGCCTTTACGCCAGGTAAGGTCACAGCCTGGAGAKGCTGTCCTGAAATCAGCTGCTACTGCATTATTTGTTAGAATTATTATTATTTGGAATAATATTATCACTATAATATGTTTATATTATTTATAATTTATTGTATATCTTCATTGTATCATATATTATATATTTATATACATTTATATGTTTTATATATTTCTATATTCATATATTTATATATAATATAATATTTCTATATAATAATATTTTCTACTTTTATTTTATATATTTATATATTTATATATTTATATGATTTCTATATTTATTTATTTTATATTTTATATATTTGTAAATTTATATAGTTTATATATTTATAGATATTTATATATATTATATATTTTATATATATTTTTATATATATATAGTATATTCTATATAATTTGTATAACATATAATACATCATTTATATAGCATCGTACATTATAATATTAATATAATATAATAAATAAAACAATTAATTAAATGTAATACTATTTAATAGAATATATTATCTAATATGTAATATARTTACTATATTATGTAATATTTAAAACAATTGAATAATATATAATTTATTTAATAGATATTATATATAATATAAATTCTATATATAATACATACCACATATTGTTTTATATGTTGTATAACACAGGGACTGAGGCTCGGACTCCACACTGGTATGCAAAGACATTTATTGCCAAAACCCAGGGCTCTTTAAGCTGTTGGTTTGTTTTGTGTTTACATTYTTGTGAAACACAACAAAGCATCTGAGCCAACCACATAAATCAAGTTAGGAACACGCAGTGGTCAGAACCAGCCACGACACACCACGGTGTGAGCTCTCACCAGCTCTGTATTTGTTTTCCAGGTTATGGAACTTGTTTTTCACCTCTGAGTCATTCCCAGAGTCCTTCTGTGCTTGGCCAAAGTTACAGGAGAGAGCAGGGGTTTTACAGGGGTAACAAGGGCCTTGTTTTATAAGGTTTTATCAGGTTTTATAAGGTTTTATAAGGTTTTACTTATCCCCAGCAGACACCTTCCCTGCATTTCTGCTTGAGGGGTTGTTGCTGTCCACCCACAATCAGAGAGCAGGGAGTTTGTGCTGGGAGTGGTCTGCATGTTTGCCTCTGACAGGTTCCCAGCCCTTTTTGGAGAGCTGTAACTCTGTGTGTTTGGTTGTTTCAGTGCCTACGAGCAGCCCAGCCAGTCCCCCAGCCCCGCAGCCCTGCTCCAGTCACCGCTGCCACAGTTCCCCAGGCAGGACAGGAGCTTCCTGAGCCCTGTGGGGCCACCCCACCCCGCACCCAGCTGTGGATACCTCAGTGAAAACGGGTGAGTTCCTGCCAGGAGAGGCAGCTGCTGGTGAGGAATCACCTCCTTGGGTATGGAGGAAGGTGGGAGTGGGAGTGGTGAGTTCCCAGGGAGCACAGGATCCCCTCCAGTGGGACCCCCCAGGTTTGAAATTCAGGGTTTGAAATTCATAACCTTGACCCTGTCAGACCCTGTGGATGATGGGCTGTGCAGGAACCATCCTTTCCTGGGCTCCTATCCTTGCCCCAGCCACGAGGGAGCTCCTGCAGCTCCAGGCTGAGGGATTTTCTGCACCAGGGCTGAATCAGAGAGCCAAGAAAGCAGCAGGCTCACATCCTCTCCCTCCTTCCAGCTCTGCCTATCAGCCACCCGTGGAGATGTGCCCATCCTTCCCATCCTCCCAGGGCATGGCCCAGGAAAACCCTGCTGCCTACCGGTGCCAGCTGCCCAAACCCTGCCTCCAGTACCCCCAGGAGGGCTTCAAACAGGAGCAGCAGGACCCCCAGTACGAGCAGGCAAAGCAGGCAGGGAGCAGGCAGAGTTACCCAGCAGCTGTGGTGGTGAAACAGGAGCAGGTGGATTATGTGTACGACTCAGGTAAGGCAGTGCCAGCTCCTCCTGGCTGCACACAACGGGCACAGAGGGGTGGACAGCATCTTCAACCCCTTGGGGGACATCCAGGACTCGTGGTCTTGGAGTTTTGAAGTAGCTCAATATCAAGAGGATGTGGATTGGCTCTGCAGCTGGAAAATGAAACAGTTCTGTCTGTTCACTGCACCCAAAATAAGGCTGGGACATTCACCATGTTCTAAGAAAGACTTATTATAATTTATGGAATTATTTTAATGTTTAGAATTATTATAATTTATATACTGTGTATGTATTAATATAATATATATTATAATTATTTATTTACTGTGCACAGTAAATAAATTCAATTCAGAAAACACAAGATACAGAAAAGAAACAAATTTGATCTTTCAAATTGCAGAGCACAGACAGCACCCTACACTACACAGAGAATCATGAACASACTTCCTGCTTGTTCTTAACAAAGCCTTTTTTTTCCTTTTTTTATTTTGTGAAATTTCTAAAATTGGAAGTTTTAGCAAGATAGAAGGTAGGAGGTGATGTTAAATCCATTCAAATCAGATTAAAGCATGCTTTTTTTTYCCCCCAAGGGAATAAGTAGCCAATAGGGAGACTCAAAATTCCTGCTCAGCCCACTCACACCACCAGAAATGAAGAAATTATGTCTCCACTTTTACAGGGAGTTTTTGTCTTTGGGAGTATTTGTGAGCTGGAAGATAGAAGAAAATAAGTGAGGTCAGCTTTGAAGAAATCATACTGAAAAGGAAGAAGGGAAACAGAAGGGAAGGAATCAAATATATTGGACCTTGTACAGAAAAACTGTCTTGGATCCTTTCAGAGAAGGGCTCTGAGCCCTGGCAGAGGAAAGGGGCTCTGGGTGGGCTCAGCTCAGTGCCAGGGTAATGCTTGGTGTCCCTTGGAATATCAGCTTCTCATAGAAACAAGGTACAGAGAACAGAGATTTCAAGGAAAGACAAGAGAAAAATATTTTATTATGCCAAAAATACCTCTCTGATGATGCCAGAACCACCAGGGGATCCTCTTATTTTCCCACAAGGGATAAATCTTATTTTTCCTGCAGACCTGCCCAAAGACTCATTGCTCTGAGATGACAAAAACTTCCCTCTTTCAGAGGGAATGTTGCTTCTGCTTTCCTGATATTTTAATGGCCATCTTGAATTGTTTCCTCTAGCAGAAATAAACACATAAATAAAAATCTCCCGTGAGTACAGAACCCACTGCTGTGGTGGTACTGATATTACATTTCCACTGTGTCCTTCTGTTCACAAAATGTGCAAAACCAGAAAAATGCTTTTTTTTTGTGAGAGTAGTTTATGATTGTAATAACACCCATTCTCTCAGCTCAGAGTATTCTTCCCTGAGCATCAGCAAAATAATCTCCTGGAAGCAATGGCTGGGCACAGGTGTGTGAGGGAAATGTAAATCTTTCCAAAGCTCCCAGTTACAGCTTCCTTTTCAGCTGTGTACAGTAAATAAATTCCATTCAGAAAACACGAGATACAGAAGAAACAAATTTGATCTTTCAAATTGCAGAGCACAGACAGCACCCTACACTACACAGAGAATCATGAACAGACTTCCTGCTTGTTTTTAACAATGGCTTCTTTTTTTTCTTTTTTATTTATTAAACTGTCTGCAAGAATGCCTCGCCGTGATGTGAAAAAGCCAGGGAAACCTGAGACATATAAAATTACCTTTTTGAAATTCTGTTTGCAGATACATTCAGCTCTCCATGTACATCATGGGAAAATGTAATGCCTTCTTACCTGGGAAAACAGAAATGGGTGTAGTTATCTTAAACTAAGATGGGAGAGAGGTTCAAATGTAGCCTGTTGTCCAAGATTTTGTATTAAAATGATGTAGARGTGACTGGCTGGCTGTCCTGGCTGCTCTGAAGGGTGGTGTGTGATGGTGCCACAAACATTTACTACTCCCATTCATGACTGGAAGGATAATGCAGATGAAGTTGTAGTCACCAGTCTGACACAAACCCTTCATGAGGCCCCAAGAGGACTCTGATAGACAGCTGCACTCACCCACTCATCCTTRGGGAACAAGAGCATCCTGCCACCTGGCTTTTTTAATCAATTTTAATTGTTTGTTAATTGTTCTGTAGATGTTCCTGACTGTCCTTCCATGTACATAAACGCTGAGAATTATCCAAGCCATTCAAACACAGAGGATACWTTAGGTGAGAAATGCAGTGGCTGTTTTCTTTTCCCTGCACAGAGTTGCTCTCTGGTTCTACCCTGGCTGCCTGGGACTGCTGATGTTTTCTCTTYCAGGCTGCAGCTATGACAAGCAGATGAGATCCTTCCCTGACGATGTCTGTGTGGTTCCAGAAAAATTTGAAGGTGGGAAGAAAGAATGGCTTGGAGTTTTGGTGTAAGACAGGGTTATTCATCACCATAGCTGAGCCACTTGGCTCATTACACTGTTCTTGCAGGTGTGCTTGTACCCAGTTTTTTGATATTCCATTTTCTGAGCTTTTTTGAGCTTTTTCAGCATAAGTAGCTTAATTGTGATGTGTCAGAGCTGCTCTTGGAAGAGCTGCTTGTGAGTTTGCCACTCTTTTAATATAAACTAAAATATTCCAGGCAAACTTTTGTGACATTGTGAAACGCGCTGGGTTGTGTTATTTTTTTCCTTTTTCCCCCAGTGGTTTTTGCACTGTCATCCTTAGAAACATCTGGTTTGTTCTTCTCAGCAGGAGACATCAAGCAGGAAGGTGGAGGGTACAGGGAAGGACCCCCGTACCAGAGACGGGGATCGCTCCAGCTCTGGCAGTTCCTCGTGGCTCTCTTGGACAACCCAACCAATTCCCACTTCATTGCCTGGACTGGGAGAGGAATGGAGTTCAAGCTCATTGAGCCAGAAGAGGTGAAAACATCGAGGTTCTCTGCAGGCTCAGGGGAATCTCAATCACTCTTTCTGGGGCTGTGGATTCTCAAGGGGCTTTTCCTGTGCCCTGTGAGGCTTCTGCTTACCAGTGATACTCACTAGACCCTGCAGCAATTCCAGGTTTTTAGAAGAGGTCAAATCACTTGAGTGACACAAAAACCAGGTTTAAGAAAGGCTGCATGTACATAAGTTTAGAACCTGAATTATTCACTGAGTCAAATTATCCACTGCTTTTATTTCCCTGGATAATTCACTCTCAAGCTTGCAGTGACCTGTGCTGTTTCATCGTGCTGCATGCTTGAGGCTGATAATGAGATTTGAACCCTACCATTGCAGAAGTTTTCATAAAAATCTGGAAGMAGACATGTCCTAGTCTATCTTTATATCAAAATGACTTTAACTTAAAATGTTAAAACTTTAAATTGAAGTGTAATTTCAAATGCTGCCACATTCCAAAAAAAGCAGGGATACCTGACAGTATCTGGGAGATGTGCCTATAATATTTTGTTCCAATTAGAGCTGCATTTAGCACTGTTCTTGCTGCATTATCAGAATTTATGGACACTTTTAGTGCAGAGAAATTGTATTAACAGGTTGATATCAGCTTACAACAGATTTCTGAGTCTTGTGGACAAAGATGAAAATCATGTAAGAATAGGAAGGCACAGATCTCTTCCAGAGTGTTCCCTCTTGATCTCCTGATAAACGTGGGGACCTTTAAGTGTAACAGGATAAAGCAGCCCTTTAGCACCCTCAAGCTTTCAGTTCTGGAGAGTGAGGAGCAATGGTGACAGTAAATGAGCTCTGTAGTGACCAGAATTTCTCTGTGACACAGAGTGYTTGAGTTCTACTCACGTTAAAAAGCTGCCAAATTAGTGACGAGTCTATTATTGAAATAATAAATAATATATTGAAATAATAAATTGAAATTTGTGTCTCGTGGTGCCATCCATCAAAAGAGAAGCAGCTGGGTAATGTTCTTTTCTGTGGGCTGGGCTCACAGGCATTCCCACAGTCTGATATTTTGTCCTGCAGGTGGCCAGGCTCTGGGGGATCCAGAAGAACCGGCCAGCCATGAACTACGACAAGCTGAGCCGCTCGCTTCGCTACTACTACGAGAAAGGCATCATGCAGAAGGTCAGTRTGCACAGCAGCAGAAAACCTCATGTTCTGAGTATTGCTTCTCTTGTTTGACACTGGCAGTCCTACAGACAGAAAGTCCTGGAGCCAGCCAGGCACCCCAAGCTTCCTCTCCCCAAAACTTCTCTTTTCTGTAGTGAAAAGCAGAAGGCAATGTGTGAGAAATACAACAAAGGAGGAATTATTATTTATTTCTTTTTCTGTATATGTGTGCAGTCAGAGAGTTGGAATTCATGCAGCTTCAAGGAGATATAACCAGTCCTTCCCCTTGGGAGAGAAAGGCTGCCTGGAGCTTGGTCCTGTTGGCAGGGATGGTGTGTGGCACAYCCAGAGCACTGCAGAGATGATGGGGAGTGTGACTGTCACAGAYTGTGACAGTACAGACTGTCCAGGGACCACTGCTGCTGCTGTGACCTGGACAAAGGGTCAGCTGCATCCCAGCTCCCAGGAGCTGCTCCAGGGGAGGTCAGAGCAGCAGAGAAACAAGAGGACAGCACAGGGAAAAATTCACAACTCTAACACGTCTCAGGTCAGGCAGATGTTTGTGCAAGGTGGTGGAATCACCACCCCTGGATGTGTTTTAAAAAAAGATTGGATGTGGGGCTTGGTGCTGTGGTTTAGTTGAGGTGTTGGAGCAGGGGTTGGACTCGAAGACCTTGAAGGTCTCTCCCAACCCTGGTGATTCTGTGATTCCCTGGTGCCGGGCAGCATTGCCCAGTGCTGCCCCTGATCCTGCAGCTCTCTGCTCCTCTCTGCTCCCTGCAGGTGGCCGGGGAACGCTACGTGTACAAGTTCGTGTGTGAGCCCGAAGCTTTGTTCTCCATGGCCTTCCCCGAGCAGCAGCGGCCGGCGCTGAGGGCGGAGCTGGAGCGGCAGATCAGCGACGAGGACACCGTGCCCCTTTCTCACCTGGATGAGAGCAGCTCCTACCTGCCAGACTTTGGGAGCTTCCCTCCTCAGCTCTACAGCAAAGGCTACAGCTACTAGCCCTGCTGGGAGCACGCTGTGCCACACTGGCTGTGCACAGGAGATGATGGGTGGTATGAAATTGGGCTCGGTGCTGTTCCAGGCCAGCACTAAACTCGGGATCCCTGCTTTGGGCAGGACAAGGGTTCAGGGAGCCATGTGGGTAACAGCAGACAGGGCTCTCATGTGCTTGGGGTAAAACTCTCAAAATGTCAGGATGGGGCACGTTCTCAGCCCTGCAGAGATCTTCTATGCAGCAGAACTACAGCTTCAGCAGCCTGCAGACAGATCAAACACACCGGGCACAATCCCTCTCATTGCACAGGGAGGWGATGCTGACCCCCMARSCYTTTTTTTTTTCTAATGTGAGAATGCTACAATGCTGCCGCTGACTCCATTCCTCCAGTACTGAACCTCTGCAGGACCTGCCTGCAGCTCTGACCAGAGGAATTCTGAAGGTCTGACTCACCTTCTTCCCAGGATGGCTGCAGGACAATTGTGATTGTCCTGATTTTGTCACTGATTTTGTGCCTTCCTGGGGAATCCCTGTTGTCTTGTTTGTGCATGCTCCTGCCTTATCACCTCCTTGTTCCTGCCAGGAGATTTTGGTGTTTAGGCACTCTGAGCAGGGTAGGGGCAGGTATTGGCCAGGATTAAAGCAGTCCTGGAGGACACAGCCCAAAACCATTTAGGGGAACTACAAAGGAGCTGGATTGCATTGGTCTGGGGCACAGCTCAAAGCCAATGCCACACTCAGGCAGGGAAGCAGCAAGGCCTGAGACACCAGCTCAGTCTAGTGTTGTGGCTTTTCYAAACTGAAAAACTTCTCCAACAAAAATTCTCAGGATATCTGAAGAGCTGTCAGGCTCGAGAGTGTGCCCACCCTGGGCTTGGCTAGAAAAGTCTGTGGCAAGACAGAAGAAGCTGGTGGAGGTGTGATTAAAAATGCCATACAAAGTAACCTAAACCACACATAGATCTTAATATAGGAATTCAGACTAACCCCACAGATGTTTGCATGTTTGAGGGGAATTCTGGTGTGTTGAAAAGGCAGCTCTCTGCAGTCCAAGGCAGCATATGCAACTTCACTAAACTGGCAGGTTTTCCATAAAAGTAAACATTTACAATGGACACCACATCCTCATTAAGTGGTGTTTCATTTTTATTAGCAGCTCTACCACATTCCCAGTTAAGACAAGGAGCAGTAGAGTGTACCCATACAGAAAAAGTTGTCTACTGCTTCAGATTGGTATTTCAGCTGCTGAATACAGAGCACTTACAATCCTGCCAGCATGGTAGCCTGTAGAGAAAGTTCTGTATATTGATTGCAAGCCTGATTTCCCCTGATGACTCTCCCTGCATGGCTAATGCCAACCCTCCCAGCCTYGTCCCTGAGTGCAAGAGCCATGAAATGCAGCATTCCCTGCCTGAGGAGAGGCCAGAGACTCAGAACAATCTGCTCTGCTGATGCCTTTGAAGGCCCTGGGCAGAGACTTGGTGTTCTGACAGTTGCTGACCCTCCTGCCTTGCCCTGCACCTACCTGGCCAGCACAGTCCCTGTGCACCCAGAAGCGAGGGTGATGGGGAACCCTTCCTTTGCTATAAGCTGCCTTTACTATTTATGAGTGTAAAAATACTATCATGAATAAATTGGTCTGTCTTGGGCCAGTGCAACTCCACTGATTCCCTGACTGGTCCTCTTTCATCTCCTGAGCTTGCTTTGCACATCTTGGCACCAGCTCACAGCTTTGGGAAGCTGATCCAGAGGGATCAGGGATGGATTTTTATTCCTGAATCTCAATGGAGTTCAAGAAATGAACACTTTGCTCCCTTGCCATATTCACAACCAGGCTTGAAAGATCCCCAACAAAATACATATTTTTTACTGATTTAAGGTTCACTTTAAAAGCCTGGTTGAGTGATTTCAAAACATGTGGTACAGAGGGGTGAACACCCATCCCTGGAGGCCACAAGCCAGGTTAGAAGCAGACCCTGCCCAGAGTCCTCCCTTACTGGTTCAGTTGTCAAACACCCCCACCCAACCCCAGAAGGTCACATTCACACAGGACACACACTTTAGAGTGCTTCAGAGAAGTCTGAGAAGGAATCACAAATCACCAAACATCCCCAAAGCACCCCAGACTCATTCTCTTCATTTCAACAATAATTTCAGCAAATGTCCCAGCTTTGGGAAAAAATAAGGTTTCCACAGCTATTGAGTCAAATAGTTTCATCTGTTAGCAACAGAAAAAATATTTTACAGATAGCTTGGGCATGACATAGTACACAGTGGGCAGTCATCTTCTTTTTATACAAGAAACTCACACAATTTTTACAGACATTTTAGCTGTAAGAGCTCATTCTATTACAAAAACTCAACAGCTRTGATGTCACCAAACATTCTTAGTGAAAATAAAGCATATGTCACATTGTACAGGTGGTCTAAACATCTGTAACCACTTACATTTCCAGATGGAACCCTGCTGCAGAGGGGATGTGGTAATTACTGGCTGATAACCAGCCTTCAGCACCCAGGAGATGGGGATGAAGGGGAACACTTGCAGTCTGGACTGTGCCATTGTTCAAATATAATGGACATTCTAACTGGGTTTCAAGAATTTTTCCTGCCTTATCCCAAAGCCAGAGATACTAAATATCTCACTACGTATGGCTTAAATAAAAAACAAATAGTTACATTGAATGGGAAAATGCATAAACWAGGTAAAATAGAGAACAGGCTGCTCCCAAAAGGCAGCCACTGTACACGAGTGGAAGTAGAAATAAATCCCTTTCAGCARGGTAAAGACACAAACTATTTCAGCTTCTATTTGGTCACTCAGAACRCAGTCAGGTTGGTGAACAACCAGTTTTTAACCCCTATTTTTTTGTGTTGTTCAGCTCAGTGCCCAGAATTCTGAGTCTTAGATTCTGTCTCATAGAAGGGGAATCACTAAAGTGCTCCAAGACCCMCTTGTGAGAGGCAGCAGTGGCCTGTGGAGCTGCAGCACATCTGTGCCACAGCTGGGCTGCCCCCTGAGCTCCTGTTCTGCCAAAGCTGACTCCCTGTTCATGGCACAGGTGAGCTTCCTGGGAGTGTCTGTCTTCCAGGACACTGGCAACAGTGCAAAAGTGCCAATCCCACAAATGCAAAAGCAGGCAGAGTCCAGGAGGGAGCCGAGCTCACCGCCGCCGGAACGCGCGCGATATCCGCCAAGCGTTGGGCTCCTCGTAGCGGTTGTAGAGGGGCTCCAGCCGCTGCTGCTTCTTCTGCTTGCTCAGCTTGGTGGGATCAGAAACCTTGAAGAAAGCTGGGGCAAATTCCACCAGCCAGCGAGGATCRATCGTGGTCACCTCACGCATGTACTCCTTGGTGGTCAGCACCAGCTCATGATACACCACCCTGYRAAAAGGGACAGCAGCTCTGGRAATCAGCTTTTCCAAACAAGAAGCRACAAGACAAGACCTCATGTGGACTCTCCTGAAGATTCTCCTGTGCCTGACAAAGACCTGACTATAAAAKATTRAGAACTTTTTTTACTGAAACATTTTATTCAGTTTCAGTCCCTGTTTTTGAAAGAACACATCAGTAAATGGCTCATTTATACTGCAGGAAGCATATGCACACACTGAACTAGATAAGCTTGCTCCTTTTATCTCCTTTATCTTCTTCAGCAAAAGGCTCCTTTTAAGCTACAGTGCACACTCCAGAAGAACTATCCCTATTTTCCCCCTCCTGCTTCACAATACTCTTCAGCACAGAATTCCTTCATTTCATTTAAAACAATCCTCTCTCCCTCTTCAAACACTAAGTGTTTTAAGCTCAGTTCCACACAACTGCAAACTTCAGGCCTGGCTTTGTCTCCAACAGTCAGTCTCATCTATGCACAGGCACTAAATTTTGCAGCAGAGACAAAAGCAGACTTGAAACTTTCCTCACTCTGCTCATTGCTAAGAAATCAGCATCCTCTGCTCAGATCTGCAGTCCACAAACAGCACACACCACGATTTGTTTATAAAACCTGAAGAGAAACAGGAAATACCATGCTATTGCCTCTCTTACCATTCTGGCTGCCTGTTGAAGAGAGCACTGGATGGGTGGATGTAGACTACTTGTTGGTCAATGAGTGTCCGATAACCTTCCTGGGGATCCTTCTTTGCTGCATTTCTGAAGAAACCGCTACAAATGGCCTTCTGGACCCTGACTGTCGCCTTCCCACAAGAAACCACATCCAGCTTGTGCCTGCCACACAAGAATTAGAGAAGAAAACATTTCCAGATTTGAAAGCAGCTACCAAGATTAGTTTGGCATATTTTCTTTAGCTATTACAATGTAAGAACAGTAAGAAACAAAGTCAGTTCTTGTCCTTGACATGCTTACCTGTCCATAATTCCCAACATCTGCTTGCGAATGTCCTGCGCCCGGCGTARGGATCGGGCCTGGATAAAATTTTCATAGCACCAGGGATTTGAAAACTTATTGTTCTTCCAGGAATTGTACACAGCCAGCAGGGTGAGGTGGTCACCTTCTGTTTGATGGAACTTGGCTTTCTTTTGATCAGCAAGTGCTTGTTTATCCTAACACATAAAACACATATCAATCAGATATCTACGTCATGGAGAAAATCCCAGGAAAATACGAGTGACACAGGCTCCTTGTGATTCATACCATGACATTTTAAACCTATAATGAAACAGATGATATGAGATTAAACAACACAAAATGTTGAGTGGTGAGTGACTAAGGATCAAGTGATGAGACTCTAAAGTTCACTAGAGCTACTCGAAGTCAAAACTATGCATGCATGAAAGCCTACAACTGTTCTTGTCAAAGAGAYCTCATGTCGACTCTCCTAAAGATTCTCCTGAGGGTGAAAAGGACCTGACCATAAAAGATTAAGAACTCTTTTTTACTGGAACATTTTATTCAATTTCAGTCCTTAATTCTGAAAGAACACATCAAAGTAAGTGGCTCATTTATACTGCAGGAAATGCACACACTGAACTAGTTTTCTTACTGCTCTAGAAATAACTTCAGTTACTCATCAAGAAATGTGCTGCAGCAGTAGGTTTGAGCCTGGTGATCCACACACCACTTCCCACTTCTCCCATCTGCACATAAAACATGAATCAAATACTGCAGCCACATAGATCACAACTGAAGTTAACAGACTACATTGCAGAAGTAATGGGTCCAAGACAAACCTGATCCCACCACAGCAGAGTCTGCTGTTCACTGTGTTAAAAAAAAAAGCAGCACAGTATAGAAGAAACACTTTTTGTGTATCTGAAAATGCAATGGCAACCTGAACTTCAGAGCTGGGACTGACTTAGGCTGTACAT